CATTGAAGCAACTGCCATGTGATTGGTTGATTAGATAATTGCATTAATGAGAAATTTAACAGGTGTTTCTAATAATCCTTTAGGTGAGTGTATATGTGCAGAGTTTGACAAAGACAATAACCAGCCTCTGATCAGCTTCAAACTGACAGGCGACTTACTGCCTTTAATGCTACACATACATGAGGTGTGGCACACACTGAACAACATCAACATGAGGAAAGCAGCAGGTCCTAATGTGGAAGTGAAAAAATTATCTCTGAACGACCCTCCTATATCTTACCTCTAGACAGAAAAATAACTCAGGATTGGTAAGGTAAAGTCTTCTTTATTAGTAAGATGATCCAAATTAGTGTGACAAAGTGCTCCACATAGCCCAGGTGCTTGCACACCCCTCAGAAAAAAAGTGCTTCATTATATACTTTCATATCACATATTGCTTGTACAGACAGTGGTTATATAAGTATAGCTATGATATCCTATAATGACAGTAAATACTTCATATTACTAGCTCAAATTACCATAAACAGAATAAAAGCATGGTTCTCCCCTCCCAACTGCTCATGTGTTGTTCATCGTTATCATGACAATCTTCCCTCACAAACCTATCCAATGCATTTCCTCTTCTCAATTAGGACTGGTGCTTGACTGCTAAGTTATAGTGTAGTGTGGCAACAACTCATTAGCCCTAGGCTATGTATGTACAACTTGTGGTAATCATATAACATTTAAATGTGTTTTGATTATAACTTACCTGTATGATTATAACTTACATATGCTGTGAACACACAAACCTGTATCAGGAAATGGTGCCAAAAGTGATGTTTGTTCATCTTACAGCTGGCACTCATGCCATGTGATGTCTCTTTGTTAACTCCGTTCCATTATGTTGCTTCCAAGCTGGAAAGCTGAAAAATCGCACTCCAGTCACGATACATTTTCCACGCCTGTCGTGAGAATGATTATGGCAATTGATAATGCCCGATGGTGCCCGTCTTGCCACCATGGGGAGCAGAGCTTTCAGTCGCTCAGCTCCTCGGCTCTGGAACTCATTATCATTTGAGCTTAGAAACATTGACTCACTTCCACTCTTCAAATTGAAACTTAAAACCCATCTGTTCAAGCTGGCTTTCTCTCTGTGAATTCAGTCTAATTTAACCTATGTTTTATATTCCTGTATTTTTTTGTACTATTATGGTATTATTATGTATATTGTTCTTTTGCATTCACTGTACGGTGTCCTTGAGTGTCTAGAAAGGCGCCTATAAATAAAATGTATCATTTATTATATTATTGACAAGCTTGCACCATTCCACCGTGACATTAAGTAGAATAATATGAACATCAGTAAAATGTATACCTCCACTACAATAGTGAGAGTTGGCAACTTCCGTAGCTTTTTTGTCCCAAATATCCCAGAGACCCCTGCGGCAGCTTTAGGGCCCACTGGTCTGGACAGCATGTCTGAACCCTCTGGCTCCACATGCACTCATGGGCCCTTTGGTTCTGCCTGCACCTTGTAGTTACCAAGCTCCTCTAGCCCCGGCCTGTTCCCCATTCTCAGGGGGGTGGGGCGGAACCAGGACATCTGGAGATGGGCTGGGTGGAACTGGCACATCCAGAGGTGGGCAAGGCAGAACTAGGATGTCTGGAGCCAAGCAGGGCAAAATGACCCTCTCTGGGTTGAGAGTGCTGGCAAAGCGAGAGTGCTGTGTGCTCGGGCTTTTGCCAGTAATGTAGTTAAGCAAACGTATATACTTGTGTCTAACAGGTTTCAGGTGCTTCCAGCTTTAGAGCCGGAAGGGACTGGGGAGGCAGGTGGGCCCTTGGGCACTGAGAAGCCCCCTCCCCCCAGGAAGAGGGAGGTTCAATTATTAGGGGAGTAGACAGTTATGTGTGCACGCGTGATAGAGGCTCCCG